CTCAAGGAAGTTATTCTTGAAGTTTGGTTTGAAGTATTCATTTGTAGACCCCGGTAAACAACTCCGCTGTAAACGATTCCACTTTTACAATTAAATTTGAAAATATATTATACTAAATGTTTATTTTTTGGTTCAGTTTCTCAATTTCAAATCCCGAAATTTTTTACAAGTAGGACAGTACATTTTGCTTCATGTTGATAAAAGTAAACTTTCTTTAGTGATTTTTTGATATTTTCTTTAGTTTCCTATAATTTTTTATAAAAATATCGGTATCAACTTTGCCATGAGACATAAACAATCAATTTCTATTCTCTTGACTGTTTTTTACTAAGAAACATGTATGTAAGGATTTTTATGCCATCGTCGCATTGTAATCAATTCAGATGTTACTTAAAAGCATTAAAATATTTTTTTCAGATATATTTTGAAAATTATACTGCCGTTATGATGGCCATTGTTTTTTTACTTTTATGATAAAAACACTTTTATTTTTGTTGTTTAATTACTAATTAAGTAATTAATAATAATAAGAACGCTCCTGATTTAGATATACTAAAATTATATCTATATCTAAAATTTTCAGTATGACGTATTTTCGATTGATCGATTCCTACAGTCTATAGGTACACTGATGGGCATCTTAAAGTCCCCACTAGTTGGGTCGCTCTCATTCTATCGCGCCCCACCACAAATAATTACGGAATGTTTCGGACTGGGAGTGGGGTGTGGAGATATACTACACCGTGGCATCAAAAACTCTGATATATTCGATAGGGTAAATAATTAATCTGATACCAGTTGCATTTGATATTTTTTTAAATATTATTTTATTAATGNTCAGAGAAGCAGTAATTCATGTCATAATTAGATGCGTGAAGACAATCTATTGCCACACAATCTAGCTCATTCATCAATCTCTTTACGGCTGACTGAAGGTCCTCAGCATCGGTCCAATTTTGACTAGCGTAATGCATCCACATTTTCAATAGTTGTTCTATAAATAAAAAAAATAATAATATGAAAACGGGTATTATAGTAATAAGATTAAAAAATTGTTCATTACCTATTGAAATTATAAAACATTAACAGAGAAACCACCTTATATTATTATACTGACTAAATAGTGTAAATTACTTATATTGACTAGAATATACTCTATATATAAAACATATTTGTTACTGCTAGATATATATATTTTTTTATTTAAATTAAATAAACAAAAATTAAATGACAATTCCAAATTTTAACAACGCTTTACATTTACCATCTTTAAATGCAGGCTCACTTTGACCTAAATAAGTTATCGTATATTGTTCCCAAGAGGAATTCAATTTAATCAAAACATCCTCTGTTATGTGTTCTGTAACCCTCTTTGGTAAAAAACACTTGNATATTTTTAAATATCTTAAAAGTCTTTCGAGATACCGTATTTATATTTTAAACTTGGACTATAATTTACGTAGTATTAATCACGATTGCCCACATATTACGTAAGAAATATTTTTAGGGGATAAAGATCAGCAATAAAATATTTAATTTAATTACAATTCTAAATACATTTTGGGCATAATATCTTTTGCAAATGCTTATTCAACTAATAAAAATTAACAGACAGCATATATAGGAGTTTCATTAGGTAGGTATGTCAGTAAAATTTACGTCATGTAATTTACTCATATATGTTCGTTACGGCACTGGATTTCCAGCGCGTGGCATAGGTAATATAGTAAGAGCTGCCAATAACCTTTTTATCATTAAGGGGTGTGGACTTTTACCTTTATTTGATGATGAAATGAAACGAGAGAAAATAACAGACCGTTGGATATTAATTTCAATAAAACGATGTCACAGTCGGTAGAACGGCAGCAGATAAATAAAATAACTAGTTCTTCGTTTACTAAGTTAATATAGCAAAATAATTCTTTCTGCAGTTTTTAAAAATTACAAAAAATTATGACAAACATTTTTATTTTCTAATTTCTGATCATGCGCTATTAAAATAATAATTATAATAATCCACATACCTATATGGATAACTACGTCCGTGAAAAGGGTTACTTGTAGATTGGTATAACAAAATTGAAATTTTGATAAATAATAATTTGTTAAAAACTACCAAATTATCTTTGCAAAGCAATTAAATTAAATTTTCATTGTTTAGCTGATACAATTTAGGTTAAATAATTTTTCGAAATATCAGCGCAAGAAAAATGTTACCTATGGCGTATCTACAATTTGAAAAGATTTTGCTTGAGCTCTTAGAAATTATAGATGAAAACTAGTTTAGATGCCACGGGCTTGATTTTCGAGAAAAGTTTAAAAGTTATACATATATATTTTTCTATTTTGGCCGAGGTGTGTTCATTTGAAATCCATTTTTGGTCTATAAAAAATGTATTCACGAATATAATCACAATTAATTATCATCATGATTAAGACACCTATTCCTTTGTTTCACCAACCGATGAGTATACATTTTGCACTTAGCGAGCTTCCTAAAACATCTAACGTTTAACGCCTTTTTTTTAGTGGTCCGAAAATATGGAAATCGCAATCCTCTATTTATTTTTTTATTGAATATTTTTTAAACATTGTAGTGAAGCAGCATTTGAAAAGTTTTGTCGTGGATTTTCTGTAGTCTCAGTTTCATTCAACAACATTGGACGCCATGTCAGGGAATGTTATTAGTCTCGGTCTCTTCCAGGATTAAGGCCCCCGGTTGGTCGCCTGGTTGGACTACGAGATAACTTGGTTGCCCATCCCCGGTGGTGGTCCCACATTGGGCGCCACGACGCGGATGCGCCTCTTACTGGTTCGATCCCGACTGTTGAAACCTACTAGACTCTCCCCTAAGCATCATCAACAGGTCTTCGACCCGTATGATGGGATGGGAAGGAGCGTAATATCCAGGGTCTCTCTTCACCTGGAGAGTTCCCTGGCATCTCGTTCCTCTCCTTCTTGATGTACGGCCCTGCGGCCATCATCAAGGGAAAGTGAGATCTTCGATCCTCCGCCATTGTTCTGCGTTCAGTGAGCTCAGGTGGAGATTCCACGATCTATTTATTGGGATGCGACCTAAACGGCCGTTGGAGCACTTCATTAAATTTGATTTCCAATTTAGGACGTTTGGAAACGTGGTTCGGGCTTTTGTATCACCCTGTATGCACTTGGTTCGAATTTGATACCCCAGTGTCTGAAAATCACTGTCCTTGGTTCACTATGATTTATCCAGTGTGTACGGACTCCTTGGCGTGCCGGTACTGAAGCTTTTAGGAAGCTTGGTTCAGCGTGGAGCTGATTGTGAGAACGTTAGAGCTCGAGGTTTGGGTATTTTTTGTAGAGAAATAATAACTCGGGAATAAGGTAAATTATATCGTTTATTTGAATGCTGGTTGATAGCATTTGGTTGTTCTGTATTAAGGCATTGCTGAAATACCGAGTTTTTTCGATTTTTTAAGACATTTTCTGAGACCAATATCTCCGCAACCGTAGGTATGAGAAAAAAAATTCATACGAAAAATCAACATGTTTTGGTGTGCTCTACATGCACCTGTTCTATGTCCATTGAGTTGTGAATCACCCGGAAATCATCCAATTTGCAAAATAACTAATGGCAACGAAATTCTAGGGTTGTTAGTGACAATGTTTCCCAGTATCTCCGCCACTGGTTGCCAGATTTGTCTACCAATTCATTGAATTTTTACCCATATTTTAAGTTATTCCAAATTTCATCAATCAACATTAAAAATTTTAAGAGATATTTGAATAAATGTAAATTTTACCGCTGTATATCGAAAATGAACCGTTCTGGATCTTTTTTTTCTTAGAATAAGGCTGCTCAAATTTGACTACAAAATCTTGACTCACCTGGATTGTAATTGATAAACTAGAAATTACAAGAAAAATATTACATGTCTCAATTATTTGCAAAAAAATTTATAGAAAATCTCTTCACAAGAATCAAATATTTTCACAAACCAGTTATAGGATATCATAAAAATCGTCCAAAATTGACAAACACACTACGACTTTTAAATGAGTCAAGATAACTAGATGCGGTTTTTGTCATTCATTTCTCGAATATCGAGCTGGTGGCATCTAAACTATTTTTTCTTATCCTTTTGGGAAATAAAAGGAACCTCACAAGTGTCGAAATTGACTCACCTTGTACTATAATGCAGAAAATGTTCTAATTTCTATAAAGTGAGGTACTAGTTTTAATTTATGGACTATTTTGGAGATTTTTACACAATGTTTATACAATAGTTAATTTTAGTTGCATTCTAGAATTTTCGCTCATGTTTAATTAATTTATTTGGGTTGGTTGGATTTACTGTTATAATTTTATTTCATTGTAAACTTGACAGACTTTTGACAAATCAATTAGTCGAATTTTTAAACATTTAAAAAGATAATGAACTGTGATAATTTCTTGATCAATTTCTTGAACAATTTATTGAGTCAGATATTGGAGGATCCTTATCAACTGTTTTTCACATAATTAAAGAATCTAGTAGTTTTATGAAAATCACTATATACAATTCAAAATAACCAATAAAGTTTAAAAACCACCTCTTGTTTTTATTCCCGTAATTTTATGTTATTTTTATTAACATTTATAATATTTGTTTTAGGTGTGATTTTTCGGCCATCAGGACTCTCTGCTCTTTATCTATTAATATTATTCTATCTACCATTTGTTCCTGTACCAACAGAAAAAACAATGTCTGGCCATACAGGCATTTTCCTAAAAATTTTGATAGTAATAACGTCATTAACGGCGTTAGGTCAAGTAATATTTCAAATTGTCCTAGTTGCAAAGCCACCATATGCGGAATTTTTGGAGGTAAGTTATTTGTTAGCCTGCATTTTTATTTTATTAAAACCGATCTGACTGTTGTTCTTGCAGAATGATGTATTGTTAGAAAAAATTCTGCGACATGTGGGTTTCATAAGACTGAATAATGTGGATCCTATATCGGCCACAGTATGGCTTTCGCCAGAAGTTGTAATGCTTGCTATATCGATAGGTTTTTTTATTGCAATGAGAAAATTATCTGCTCCTATATCAGTTGAGGCCTCAAATGAGGAGGGAGAAGATTCGGCAAATAGCCGATCAACAAAAACACAACAAAAATATTTTTCCTATTTAGTAGCAATTGGTAAGTCAGGTCACATCTAATTTAATAAGAGTACACAAAATTCAATTTCATCTGTAATATTTTTTTTGCAGGAAGATACTGTGTCCTATTTGCTTTGTGTTCCGCAGCAGTGTTGAGGCCCTCCGTCCTTGGAGGACTTTATTTCATTGTCTTCTTGGCAACTATAACATGGTGGTCATGTTGCAAGCAGTTGAGAAGAGGCTTTGCAATTGTATTGGGATGTCTCACACCAGTTGTTTTTATACACTTGAGTGCATTATATTCATATCAATTTCAGTGGCCTCAGGAATTTTTAGAAAGGAATAGTTCCTATGCAAGGTACCTATATATATATTTTTTTAAGAGAGTTTAATAATCCTGGAATAATGTAACTGTTTCAAACAAACAATATGCACGTTTTTGTCGGATTAAATAAGCTCCACTTTAAAAAAAAAATCGAGATTTGTATACAGGGTGTTCCATAAGTCTTTGTCATAATTCCAAAAGGTTGTTTTTTGGGACATTTTAATCTAAAAAGTCTTAATGAGGGAAGTGTTGAAATTAAAAAAAAAAGTCACATTCAAATTCTGATATTTAATGTTAATTGATGTAACTTGAGTTAATGATTTATCTAATTAAAGGCAAGAATTCACTGAATTAGTTTGTTAATATGCTGGTCAACAAGTGATGGAGATAGCAAAGGGCCACACAATTATATTTTATTGCCACTCACTGTATCTTCTAAAACCAATGTCTTTACATATCTGAATCATTAGAGCTTGTTGATCTAAAGTAATTTAAAAAACAACCTACTGTATATGGCATAGGCTTAGAAAAACACTGTGTAATATTATTCTGATATTCAAAATTAACATAAAAACTTTACGATTATGTTTTTTAATTTTGCCTATAATAAATGCAATATAAAAAATAATAAAAATAATATATTTTTCATTTATATTTTAAAAATTTTAAACATTTTGTTTATATTTAATTTATATTTTTTAGATATTTTGGACTTACGCAACTTATAACTGTTTCTTTGGATAGTTCTGATGATCCTAGAAATTTTCTCTTCACTGACGAAGAATGGGCTTCATTTGTTAACCCTTTGGCTCTCTACTTGTTATATTATATGCTTGTTCTCGAGGTTAAAGGACTGCTTCAACCCTTGGTATGTTATTAAACTAATATTACTAACTTTAACTTCAGTAGTAAATCCTTTTGCTATGGGCATTAACTGAAAGAATTAATTTTTTAGCAAAATGTTATTTCTCACAATAGTAATAGCAGAATTATAGTACATATATTGTTTTTCTTTCATTGCACCACATTTATCATTCATTCCTGAAGGCATAATACCAAAGTATTAACTAGAAAAATAATGTATTTTGTGGTGATATACCCTCATGTATTCTAATAAAATGACTTAAACCCCCAATTCTGAGATACAGTGGAAAATTATTATTTTTTTCTATACATTATACAAATTGATTAACTTTTAAACTATTACATAAATATTTTATTACAAAGCGTTTCTTTGCAGAAATCAGAATTTTAGTGTGCTACAAAAGATACGTTCCTGTTAGATAAAGAATATCAGACATTTGAAAAATTCATAAATGATTGAAGAAACTACATACAGGGTAGCCCATCGAAAACGTACCGCAAGGCATTACAGGGTAGTAAAGAACTTTTCGGCAAAATCCAAAAACAGGTCAAATTTGTTTCTGAGGGGGACAACTTTTGGCTCAAAAAGCATACCAAAATCTTCAACCCCCTAAGTGGGGGTGCTATCCCCTAAATTTTTTCAAATGGGAATGGGGGTCAAGTGGGGGGTCATTAGAAAGGGCTTTTAATTCTCTATACATCGATTCTTACTTTTTGAAAATCGATTCATTATTTTAGAAAATATGCAGCTTTGAAAATACGAACAATATTTTTGACGAGAAATGCGAAAATCGATTTAATTTTACTTCAAAACTTACGGTATTAGTCAAGTAAATGCTGAAAATGTTGTCCGCCAACTTGCATACAATGATACAGGTTGTCTTCAAACCGTTGTCGAACATTCTGGAGCACTTGCGGTGTTACTTCGCGACATACATTAATGATTCGTCCTCGCAGATCTTCCAAGGTATCAGGTGGAGTGCTGTAAACTTTGCTTTTAATGTGCCCCCAGAGAAAGAAATCTAAAGGATTTAAGTCGGGTGACCGAGGGGGCCACTCAATTGCACCTCTTCGTCCTATCCAGCGTCCTGGAAACGTCTCATTTAGGTAATTGCGCACATTGAGCGAGTAATGTGGAGGAGCTCCGTCTTGCTGGAAAATCAGTTCGTGTTCATTGTAAGCAGGGTCGTCCTCTATGATATTTGTTAGAGCTGGGTCGATGACATTTTGTAGTAAATCCAAGTACATATCGCCTGTCAAATTTCCAGGAAGGAAAAAAGGACCTACAATGGAATTTCCAAAAATACCTGCCCATACATTCAACTTCTGGGGGTGTTGGGAGTGTGTCTCATGGAAAATCCTTGGATTGGTATCAGCCCAGTAACGACAATTATGGCGATTCACTAAACCATTCAAGAAGAACGTACACTCGTCCGAAAAACACACATTAAAGAGGAAATTATCGTTTATCGCTCGTTCAGTCATTATTTCGCAAAATTGCAAACGACGATCAAAATCGTCTTCATTTAGCTCTTGCACTAGCCGAATCTTATAAGGATGGAATTTGTATTTTTTTAATATTCGTTGGACACTTGTACGACTCACTCCTGTCGCAGTAGCCAATTGCATTGTACTCAGCGTACTATCCATTGCCACTTGCCCCAATACCGCTATTTCCGTAGGTTCATTTAGTACCGGATTTTCAACCTGCCTCTTTTTGTTATGAACGGAGCCAGTTTCGCGAAATTTGGCCACCAATTCGCGAACAATTTTTCCAGACGCATGTTTCTCAGGATGCCGTTGGTTGAACAGTTCGGCGACCCGATTTCCGCATTCATTGTTTTTGAAAAAAAGCTCAATAATTTCTACTCTTTCTGGAATTGAGTACACCATAATTAATCAATTTAAAAGACTCGGCAGTATTGGTACTCTTCAACTACAAGTCACAAGACAGTTATCTAGCAACTTCTTGTGGCCTATCTAAATACGAAACAAAAAGCGGACAATTTTTTGCTCACCAAAATCAGGCTAAAGAATTCGCAAATCAAAAAAAAAAACAGCGAATTCTTTTGAAGGAATTTACCAAGCTAATACCGTAAGTTTTGAAGTAAAATTAAATCGATTTTCGCATTTCTCGTCAAAAATATTGTTCGTATTTTCAAAGCTGCATATTTTCTAAAATAATGGATCGATTTTCAAAAAGTAAGAATCGATGTATAGAGAATTAAAAGCCCTTTCTAATGACCCCCCACTTGACCCCCATTCCCATTTAAAAAAATTTGGGGGATGGCACCCCCACTTAGGGGGTTGAAGATTTTGCTATGCTTTTTGCGCCAAAAGTTGTCCCCCTCAGAAGCAAACTTTACCTGTTTTTGGATTTTGCCGAAAAGTTCATTACTACCCTGTAATGCCTTGCGGTACGTTTTCCATGGGCTACCCTGTATATATTTATAACTTCAGCAATTTGAGCTAAATAAATAAATTCTATATATGTTATATCTTAAAACTAAAAAAACTTAATTTTCAACTCGCTAATTTCAAAAATAGGGCGTTTTAGAACTACGAGGCTAATTTGAAAAGTTCTCAGATATGGTACAAGTACCATGATCTTTCCAAAGTTTCAGATGCATATGGTAATTTTCTAAAAAAATTATAAAATTGAAGTACGTAATTTATTGGCTTAATGTGCGTGCAGGTGGTTCCTAGTTAATTTGTGATTCATACTTACTTTACTTTACATTTTGTAAAAATATTTAATTATTAAGTGTACACACAGTTGAAACAATTTTTGAAGCTCCTGTATAATTGTGGGTTTGCTTAGAAACCTATGGCATGTCTCCACAAGGGCAAATGAGACAGAGAATCTTCTCCATTTTATCATTTTTCATTAACTTTTTTACATAAACTACCTAAATCGTTTATTTTTAAATAAATTGTTTCTTTTCAAAAGCCTTTATAAAAAGATTACTTTAACTTATATTGAAGTTTTGCAATGTCTTATATTGTAATTAATAATTTTAAATAATCATTCATTCATTATGTTATACATATTTTAGTATCAAAAATTAAAATCTTACTAACATTTGTTTTATGTTGTTAGATGCTTCTACAAATTTTACTAACAGCTGGGTTACAGTTTGTATATGCTTTTGCTTACACAATAAATTTCTATACATATATGTTACATGAATCAGACAATAAACCAATTTCTATATCTCCTGTACAAAATACCTTTTAAACGTGTCATAACTTCAATAGGTTGAATCATTTTAGACCAAAATAAACCAAGGGTCTAAAGCCACTGAGTTTCAATATGCAGTGTTGTAATTTAAAAAATTGCATTTATTCAAAAATCTGAATAAATTTGATAATATAGGTAGAAGTTGAATTTTGTACCTATATGATAAATTGGTCCAAATCGTCTTGTTTTGATCTCTGAAATCTGTGATCAAACAACATTACCTTTACATAAAAAAATTAATTAAAACGGGTTCATTTCTGAGTAAAATAAAAAAAAATCTCTGATAAGAATTGAATTCTTGTATCGAATTTTCAAAATATTCATTACGAAAGTATCTTCCAATACCTTCGCCACTATACTCTGCGGTCGAAATTATAGAGAGTGACTCATCGCTAGCTTTTGGACTAGTAAGGGGGATGAAGCGTGCCGGGAACGAAAATCCATTGGCGTGTCTGCGTAAAAGGCAACAACATATAGAAAATATTGAAAAAAGATAATAAAACATAACATCTAATATTTTTTTACGGTTTGCTATAACCGGCACATTGATCTAATTTAATTATTACAGCATTTTAAAGCGTCCCAGTTGTGTTTTTTTAATTTATAAGTTTATTATAGCCATGGAATTAGACCCCTCGTCTACGCTTATGCTATGACGTTTCTTAGGACGGATAAAACAAGTCCGTTTACACCCACTAAAAAAGAATTTCCCTATTCCTTACCAAGTGCAAAAGACAGAGATAGAATATAGATCGACGTTCAGTGTAACTCAGTCTATAGACGATTATAGATTCTGTCGATGTGCGTAGCTAGCGGCACAAAGATAAATAATATTGAACCATATAAAAATCATTTTATAATTTATACGCATTATGGTAATAGTGTTTTTATATTATGTCTGAATCACTCTCTATAATTTCGACCGCGGAGTATAGTTGACAGATTTTTGTACTAATTCAGAGGATTATTGCTTGTAACTAGTTAAGTCATTGGCCATGGTTTCTTTAATTTATAATACACATACCTAAGGTGCTTTGGTAACATGATACTGTTATTTTAAGTTTGAACATACTGTATCTACAAAACCAATGGCCACTGGTTGATTAAAACTTTTTGTTCTAAAATGACCCTATTACTGAGCCAATTTTGACACTCGAATGAGTTTTCTCATTATTTCTTGACGAGACAGACAAAAAATAATTAAGGTTTTTGGTCTCAATTTTTGAGAAAATTTTTTTGGCAAAACCGGCAAAATAATTGTAAAATAAAAAAAGAACTTTTTACTGTTCATTTTTTATTTTTCAAAAATTGAGCCTGGGACATTTTGACTATTTTTTTGTCCATTCCTCGGGAAATATGAGAAACTTAAAAAATATAAAAAAATTGTTTGAGATTATTATCAAAGGAATGTTCCAAATAAATATGTTTTTAACTTGTTTAAGTTTGAACATACTGTATCTAGAAAATCAATGGCCCATGGTTGATTAAAACTTTTTGCTCTAAAATGACTATTACTGAGCTATTTTCAACACATTAAATGAGTTTTCTCATATCTTCTGCTGAGACAGGCAAAAAAATAGTTGAGGTGTTTGGGCTCAATTTTTGGGAAAAATCTATTAGTAAAACTGCACCTCTATGTCTTGAAAATAATAATTGTTGGAACTTCAAATTAATTTATTATTTAACCATTATCATTTGAAAGATTTTATGTAGTTAACTGAAAAATGGAAAATTATAAAAAAATATATGACCCTGGATTGAGTAAAAAATGTTCACAAATTAAAAGTTATTTGCTATTAAAAAAAAAAATAAAAAAAAAACACTATAGAGAAAAAGTTCGCGAGAGATACAAAATTTTTTTTTTTCAAAAAAAGAGACACATATATTTTTTGTCCATCTCATTGGCAAATATGGGAAACCTAAAAAAGTATCAAAAATTGATTGAGATTACCATCGGAGGAATGTTCCAAAATAAGTGTTTTCTAGAAGGATTCAACAATTAGTACTTGTTTGTTTTATCTTCACGATTGTGATCTTTATAGTAATAATAGTAATTTTATAATTAATTTTACACAGAAATGCTATAATAAAGTAATTTAGAATTAAATAATATTCATAATATTACTAATCTAATCTAGTTTTTAAAGTCTATAAGAACATTCAAAAAGTTCAAACTTATTCAGTTGATTACCTGTTCTTGTTAGTTGGGTGAAACAAGGTAGATTGCAACTGGTTATAAATTGCAATGGAACGTGTCATGAATTTGTTTGATTTCCTCAGTTTTAATTCTATGCATATGCTATTTAAAAATAAAAAAAATGCTGTTAAAGTTTATATTATATTCCAGTGCATGTAATAAATTGTTGTGATATTACCATACTAAAACACTTCTACTAACATTTCAGTCACAAAAGAAACAAGGTCCATTTTCTAGATTGGAGGGTAGCTTTTCTGGACAACTAGGAAGACAAATGTCACAACGTTTATCAAGAAGGCAACTAATGCGTTCCGCTACTACTAAAAAACGTTGGCGAAGTGCTACTCGAAAAGTTCGAGTAAGCATCACTAATATTGTCAAAAAGACAATCAGACTAGGTCTCTTATTTATTTTTCATAACACTGAAAATTGATACCAGTTTTTTTTGTAAAAGTTGCGGTGAGCCACGAACAAGTTTTCTATGCTTTGAACATAATTATATTTAAATTGTGTAGATTACAATTTTTTCATTGCTCGTAAACAAAATAAAAATTCAATTAAAAAAAAATTGTATCAGTGTTCCTGTTTTTGTAAAAAAGTAGTCATTTTAATAATAATATGTACAGTCTGATTGCCTTTTTAGAATAATTGAGAACATTTAAAAAATCTAAACAAGCATGTATATCTAGAAAGTTACCCTTTTTAATTTAATTTCTCCTTTGTTTCTTTGTGTTATTTTTATATTTTTATCATTTACTAATAATATTTCTTTAAAAATTACCTAATGCTTCGCTTTCTTTTTGGTGATCTTTTTTTAGGAGTCTGTAGCAAACCAGCAACAAAATCAATTTGGAGAAACCACCCCAGTATGTATTTTGTTTCATTTTCAATTACTAACTTTTTTTTCTAATATTTTTAGTCTTAATTAATTTTTAATTTCATGGGTAACAGGTTTACACATCGTAAAAGTATAATTATATTAAGTCTGTAACTTATAAAAATATTATTTCACAGCTAATTCAAGGAGTAAGTCCATCAAAGCGATATGGATCTGGTAAAAAAAGTGGTATATTTCAAGATTCAACTGGAAGCGTTACAGTTACTGGTGAAAATACTGAAGATATACCATTAGATGAATTGGGTAAGGGGAGCCAGTTTGCAAAATAAAATGATTTTTGGTAAAAATTTGAAATTGGACACATGTATTTATGTAAACAATTGTCCAAAATCTGAGGCCTTTCTCTAAAATTTAGATGTTTCAGTGGCGGACATACAGGGTATCGGTAGCATATTTTTTTAAATAAAATAGTACCCATTGCTTTACGGTAACAATCATGATATTTTCGGATGCGTCTTTTAATTTTCTACAAATTACTACATTCTTATGTTATACCTAAATACCTAAATAATATAATAAATGTGAGACATAATAAAATGCTAATTTAAACGTTAACTTTGTTAATAGTTTTGTTTTTTAAAAATTTGCAATTTTTTCTTCTACTTTTTGTTTTCTTAATATGCAAGATGCCACAGCTAGCTGTTCTTTCTCTATTTTAATTTTTATTTTATGTAATTCTGCCTGTTGTGCAATGACTTCCCTCATTTTTCTTAAACGGAGATTACATTACAATAATTTTAAGTAAAAAAATATATCCCAATTTCTGTAAGGTGTATTATTAGGTAGAAATACCAAGGCGGGGTGTTTCACCGTGGGACAATGAGAAAGAACTGACTGTTTTTGCCTCCCGCTCGGGCTCGGTCGGCCCGGTCTCGGTCCTCTCGAGGTAGGCCTCAACCACCGTAAGAAACAGAAAATTTCCATATTTACCAATCACCGTACTACAGTAAAATCAAAGTTACTAAAGTGGAACCGAAATGACCAAACTTCGCCGAGTTTTGCCGAAGTATCGATTATAAATCTTAAGCTGTACTCGAGTCCCGAGCATGACTTGGGTAAGTCGTTCTCAAGGTTGAGATTGAGTACCGACTATAGGTACGGGCATTAGTAATTTTTGTGAAAATTAGTTGTTACGCTGATGGTGGTTAATGATAAATAATAAAAAAATAACGTCCTCAACAAATAAAGAATGGTTTATTAACAAAATCATAAGGTTAAAATACAATAAGTAACTAGAACAATACAAATACAAATTAAACATTCAAATCAAAGGTTCAAAGTGACGTCCTTCTTCTTCAATGCATAAATTAATTATTCTTCTTCCGACGAACTATGGAATATTCCTTCTTTTTGCTTAATTACCTCACAATTAGCAACAATTCTTTCTCTCAGTTCATCGACGCTATTCACAGGTGTCCTGTATACAAGTGTCTTCAGATAGCCCCAAAAAAGAAATCGATTGGGTTTAAGTCAGGGGATCTAGGGGCCCACTGTACAAAACCACCGCGTCCTATCCACCTTTCAGGAAAAGTTTCACTTAAGAATTATCTGGCCGTTAAACTAAAATGCGGTGGCGCGCCATCTTGAAGCAGCCACATTGCATTTCTTAATCCGAGTGGTACATCTTCCAATAGAATAGGTAAGTGGTTTCTTAAAAAATCCAAGTAAACTTCACCATTGAGTCTTTGTGGAAAGAAATGTGGCCCAATTAAGTAGTCCCCTACAATACCGGCCCACACGTTGACGGAAAACTTATTTTGATAACCACGCTCTATTGATAAATTAGGATTCTCATCAGACCAAAAATGCTCATTGTGGAGGTTTATTAAGCCATCATGGCCAAATCCAGCTTCGTCCGTGAAAAGGATATTACGAACAAAATTTTGGTCACCATTATGAAGTATTCTAATTGTATTGCAGAAATTCACACGAGCAGCAGGATCTACGGCAGATAAGGCTTGCACCTTTTGGTAGTGGTACGGATGAAGGTTTTGTTCGCGTATTGTTTCATGTACGGAGCTCTTTGGAATGCCCTCCTGAATAGCAATTTTTCTTATACTTACATTGGGATTATTCTCTATCGAATTCAAAATACGAGCTTCTGCTTCTGCTGTTCTAGTATTCCGTTGTCGACCTACATAAAAAATTCTAGTTTTGAACGATCCAAATTCTCCCAGTCTTCGATGAATAGTACTGAACATTCGCGATTGGGGTAGGTTTCTATTTGGAAATGCTTCGCGATACAAACGTCGTGCTGCAAGAGCATTGCCAGCAGCTAAACCGTAATAATAATGCATGTCCCGCAACTCCACGTTAGAGTAATTGTTGTTCATTTTTATTATTATTTTTATGATAACAATTACTACAAAAGAACTTGTACAAAATTACTATCTGTCAAAACTAATTCTCCACAAACTTGTTTCCAAGGCAACTAAGCGCTTGTTTCCAAAGCATGCTATGTTTAATGTAGAAAATAAATTAAAATGATTTCGTATTCATCACATGCAAGCAATGTTATTTTAGCGTTTTTCTCGAAAACGGTTAGATTTATCGAAACAAATAAAGTATACCTTTTTTATGTCAAAAGGTTAGGAGAACAAAAATATTCAGTCAAAAGTCGCATAAAGTGTAGCACAAAAAAGTTGGAACCATTCAAATCAAAATAAAGGCTTGTATGTGGCGCCCTCTACAAAATGCGAAAAAATGGTGGGCAAATTTATAATCCTCATCCTGAAAAACCCCCATATACGAAATTTCGTCAAAATATTATGAGTATGGCAAAGGGTATTGCAAAACAACCGCAAATAAAATTTAACTTTTACACCCTGTAACTCCGTTAATAATCAATTTTGGAAAAAATGTTATATAAAGAAGTAGGACTTATTTTCGGTCTAGAATTATCCTCTGAATTTTTTGCTCATCATTTCCGGACACCCTGTATATGAGTTTACGTTTATAACCTCTACGTACATTCTCTGCCAGACATGCCACTATCGCGAAAATTTCTGCTTGGAATACAGTAGGGAACTCTCCCAGACTGTTGCTTGCACTCCATCTGGGTCTGAGTCCATATATTCCTGCACTCATCCCTCTGGTCATTTTGGAGCCATCTGTAAACCATACTAGGCTCCACCTTTCCAGGGTATTAAACTTTTCCTCCCATTTGCTTTGATCCTCTATTCGAGTCTCAAAAGGCTTGTGGAAGTGAAACCTTGGAACCATCTTGTCAGATACCATCCCAAAAGTTGGTTTCGACATAGATGTGTCTATAATCCTGGAATAGGAACTACCTCTCCAGTCGTTGTTATTCCTGAGTCGATATGCTGCTAGCCGCGCTTCTCTTTCCACCACTATATGTAGCAGTGGTAGATTTAGCATGACTTCTAGTGCAGCTGTCGGGGTCGATGCCATCGCCACCGTTATACCTAAACAGGCCAATATCTGAATTCTATTCAGTTTTTTCCTCGCTGTGGTCTGTTGTGTTTTTTGCAACCATACCACAGCGCCATAAAGGATCCTAGGTCTTACTATCGACGTATACAACCAGTATGACATTTTTGGTTTCAGTCACCAGGTGCTCCCAATAAGGCGACGGCATACACACAATGTCTGCTTCGCCTTACTCACCACTTTTTGCCAGTGTGCATTCCAGGTAAGCTTATTATCCAGTATCACTCCTAGATATTTTACCTCCCTGGAAAGCCTAATGCTCCTCTCCCCTATTATAGGTTCAGAGAGTCCAACTAAATTCCTTCTCCTGGTGAAGGGTACTACGACCGTTTTGTCAGGGTTTAATGACAGTGCCTGCCCCTTACACCAGTCATCTATCCATTTCAAAGCCTCTCATGAGTTCTGAAACGATAATATTATGTTTCCCGACTATGAAAACGACTAAGTCGTCCGCATAGCTTTGTGTATAAAATCCCTTTCGATTAAGGCCCTCCAGTGCACCTACCTTACACTTGGATGTCTCTCCCGAAAGGGTACCTGTTACTGTCCGGTTTCTCAACATGTTATCTATTCAACGACATAAAGTGTCATCAAGGCCCCTGTTGCGAACTGCCGAATTAATAGATTCGAAAGGTGTATTATCAAATGCCCCTTCAATATCTAAAAAAGCTGCCAAAGCTAGATCTTTGTCATCCATCGCCCTCCCTATCCTAGAGACTAGGCTATGAAGGGCTGTGTCAACTGATCTGCCTGCCTGATAGGCGTATTGGTACCTGTGTAGAGGATTTGCCCTCAACACTACGTCCCTTATATGCCTATCAACTATTCTCTCCAATGTCTTCAGGAGGAAAGATGTTAAACTTATCAGGCGATATGCCTTTGCCTGGGCATATGATGGACGCCCTGTTTAGGAATAAAGCCACATTCATCGATCTCCATGCCAGCGGTATATAACCAAGTGCAATGCTGGCTCTGAAGACGTGAATTAAAACCGGAGCTAGATAGTCCACCCCCTGCTGTAACAGTACGGGTAGGATTCCATCGGCTCCTGGTGATTTAAATGGGTCAACTTATTGCCCATTTTATTCGTGACTGACTCACCACCGTCTTGGCAACCTCCCAGTTCTGTCGAGACCCGGTCGTTACCCTCTGCTGGTGATCCCAGTCATGTTCATCTCCGTAGTTTAATAACCTGAAGCCTGGAAAGTTAGTATTTAGAAGTAACTCCAATGTCTCCCTTCCAGTTTTAGTGTATTCCCCACTCGGTGCTTTAAGAGACCGAGTTTCGTATTTCCATTTTTAGAGAGAAGTCTCTGGAGTTTAGCACACTGGGACACTATCAATATCCTCACAGACTTCCTCCATGAGTCTCTCTTCGCTTTCCTAATTTTTTTATTATACTCAGTGAGGGTTGCTCTATAAGCCGCCCACTCTCCTGTACGTTTAGCTCTATTAAATAGTTTCCTTGTCTATCCTCTCAACTATGTGAGTTCCTTGCTCCACCAGGGTACGGTGTGCTTGTCGGACCTCACTTTGATAGGACAGCTGTATTCATATGATCTTGTGACGGCGTTTTGGAGTCCCTCATCAGCCCTCTCAAGATCATATGTATTCCTTAATTTTGTAAAGATTTCCCTAGTCCTGGCCTGTAACTCCGTTCTATAGGAGTCGGTTCTTTTTGGGTCTCTGTAGGTTCTTACTTGCGGATTATAATCCGTTATGATTTCAAACTGGATATGTCTATGATCCGACATTGACGGCTCATTCGACACATGCCACCTTGCAATATTATTACATACCGATCCCGATCCCACTGTTATATCGATAACTTCACTCCTATTTTTTATAACAAAGGTGGGCTCGTTCCCGACATTTAAAATCTCTAGATTATAACTAAAGAGAAAATCTAGTAAAGACTCACCTCGATCGTTGACATTACTGCTTCCCCACACCGTATGGTGTGAGTTGGCATCACATCCCACAATGAGTTGTTTCTTTTCCTTCTCGCACCAGGTTACCAGGTCCCTCAGTTCCCTGGTTGGAGGAGATTCTTTCTTATCATAAGGGAGGTACGCTGTGCAAATCACCAGTTGTCTCTGCGTTCCCTCCGATACATAAGTCACTTCGGCCGCCACCAGGTCATCCGTGCAGAACTCTGGAAGAGGAAGATCTCAACCTACTGGCTGGTATACAGTAATCAAATTAATACTCCTGAGCAGTTAGAAGAAAGAATAAATAATGCTTTTCATCAGATTCAAGCAACAATAAATTTCTAACAAATTACATTTTCGTTACTAAAAAGATGTCGTGCCTGTGTTCGTAGAAATGGAGGTATTTTTGAGCATTTACTCAAATAAAATCATTAAAATGCTGTCTAATGTTATTAATTACTTTATTTGATTAAATAACCGAATTATTAGTGTTTGTCATGTAATTTAAGTAAAAGTGTTTTCAGTTAGTTTTTTTAAATTCTACTCGAAAATAAGACTTTTTTCGAAAAACATAAAAGAGTAGTAGAATACGAAAATATCATGATTGTTACCGTAAAGCAATGGTGTACTATTTTATTTAAAAACATATGCTGAAAATATCATGATTGTTACCGTAAAGCAGTGGCGTATTATTTTATTTATAAAAATATGCCACCAATACCCTGTATCTCCGCCACTGAAGCATCTAAATTTTAGAAAAAAGGCTCAGATTTTGGACAATGTTTGCATAAGTATATGTGCCGAATTTCACATTATTTCATTTATTAATTTTTAAATTATTTAAAAAAATAAAAATATTTTTTTAAGATTAACACCCTGTATCTTTTTAACTAAGCGTCATAGATAAAAATTTTATACGAAATACTCCTCTTAAAATTCACCAAAGAATAGGTTTCATTTTTGGTCACCATTTGTGAATCATCCTGTATCTAGCAGTTACATATACAGGGTGTCCGGAAAGGTCATGTCAAAAATGAAGGGTATAAAGGGGAGGTCAAAATAGTTGTAGTACTGCATAAAAAATTTTTTCCTATCGAGCTTCGTTGTGGAGTTACTCGCCTTCAAAGAAAGAAGTTTGAAAAATAAATTCCGATTATAACTTCTAAGTCGTTACCATGGCAACAATGAAATTTGGGCAATTAAAGTAACTCATGTTCATTTCCAAATTGATATTCAATATATCTGGATTATACAGGAGCAGACGAAATTATCTATTTAAATTTATACATGTTTGACAGTGTTCCCAAATTTGACATTTTTCTTTCATAATTCGATTCCTCTCTCACTTTGCTAAAAAAAATGTATACCATATATCAGTTAATATCTTGTACCGTTTTTGAGAAAATCGAATTTTATTAACAACATACATTTATTTATTGTATCAAAAATGTGATACTAACATTTTTGTAAAAATTTTTGTTTATATAGAATTAAAAGAAAAAAGAGAACTGTTAAGCAGGATGTTCAATATGGGCACTTTGAACAATTTTCTGAAATTGCTCAAACACCTCTGCTGTACTCGAAATAACGTGGTTATCATTTCTGATTTTGGTGTATGTATTTATGTGATTTAATCATTCTTCCCTACTATTTACAGGAGTTTGATAAACAATCCTTTTAAAATGACCCCAAATAAATAAATCGAGAGGATTAAGATCGGGATACCAAGGCAGCCACTGAAAAGGACTACCTCGACCGATCCATCGATCGGGAAATGTGGTATTTACATAAGCCCTTACTGCCCTGGTAAAATGGGGTGGTGCACCGTCGGGCATAAGACACATGTTATTTCGAATATTTAAAGGGACGTCTTCCAATAATGAGTTAACTTGTTCATGCAGTAAATGTAGGTATTTATCCCCATTTAAATCAATGATATGTGGTCCCACTAAGTAGTTTCCAATTATTCCCATCGATACACTAATAATAAATTTTTATTGATGTTTTGTCTGAATAATAGCATAGGGTTTTCATCACTCCAAATATGCAAATTCTATTTGGAAAGCGGTTGGCGTAAATCCGAACAGCTACATTAGATGAATATATGCAAATTCTTCATAGATAAAATCCTTCATGATATTGAATCAACAAATGGTGTCAAAATGATTTATGACCAATATCTAACTCCTAATCATACATACTTGTTACATACATCTCAATTTCCATAGGAACCAAGATTTTTACAAAAATGTTTAAAATTTTATTAACAACATACATGTTAATAAAATTCGATTTTCTCAAAAATGGTATAAGATATCGACTGATATACAGTATACCTTTTTTTTTTAGCAAAATGAGAGAGGAATCGAACTATGAAAGAAAAATGCCAAATTTGTCAACGCTGTCAAAGATGTATAAATTTAAATGGATAATTTCATCTGCCCCTGTATAATACAGGCATATTGAATATCAGTTTAAACTTGAAAATGAACATTACCATGAGTTACTTTAATTGCCCAAATTTCATTGGTGTCATGGTAACAACTTAAGTTATAATTGGAAATTGTTTTTCAAACTTCTTTCTTTGAAGGTGAATAACTCCACAACGAAGCCCTATAGGAATAATTTTTTTTATGAAGTACTACAACTATTTTGACCTCCCCTGTATATCCCTTCATTTTTGACATGACCTTTCCGGACACCCTGTATTTTTTATTTAATTAATCATCTTTGATATCTATAAGAATAATTCACTACATGCTTTTTGTTAAGGTACAATAGAAGATGAATATAAACCCACAGTATTAGAAAATATTGTTTTTGCCCTGGAATCTGTTTTACAGATAATAATTCGATCATCTTATATTGGCACAAATATTATAATGATGGTAAGTATTAGCTACAGAGATAAGCTGCTGTTAAGAGAAGATTGTGTGCAAATGAATAAATAACCTAAACTGTTTTTTAGGCGTGGAGCATTACCTATTTAAGTTGGATAACTTTTGTCCTTCTAATATGGGCCAATTTGATTTGGCTTATACCGAATCAAAGAAAATCTATGCTTTACTCAAGCCCATTTTTAGTATTTTATGCTCTCTTTCTACTCATATCTGCTTACATTTATTCTATGAATTTAACGGATGAAGAATTACCAATAAAAGTTAGTGGCGTTAATTTAGAAGAAATTGGATTTGTTAAAATGAGAATATTACCATGTTTACCATTGTATATAAAATGCTTATACACTATCATGTTTTGGATTACGTTAAGGCAGTACATGCAAGAACGAAAGGAACAAAGGCAAAGTAGTGCTCTCGCCGATATGGTTGCTCCATTACAAGTTACCGTTGGAACTGCAGCAGGTATTTTAAAAGATTTTAGGTGTTTCCAATTTCTTATCAATCAAAATCAACGTAATATGTAAATTGAATAAATTTGATAAATAATACAAACTGCTTCAGACTTCATTAAACATATTTTATCTAATCTACTTGTTAATATTACAAATGACGAGTTTTTTTAAATATGAAAAGCAATTTTAGTTGGAAGTAGAATGATTTAATAACATGTTACTAAAAAAAAAATTTCAGGTGTAAACAAAGAGCAAGAGAAAGGCAATAAAACAATAGAAAAAATAGGAAAGTATATTAAAAAATTTTTGACAAAGTTCTGGATATGGATTGTTGCTATAACCCTTTTTGCTGTAGCAATTACAGGAGACAGAATGACTGGATTCAGGATCGTATACATGGCTTTATTTTTGTTCTTTATATTGTCTTTCCAGGTAGAAAATATTCATTAACTGATAGTGTTGCCAATTCTCGACGGAACCGGCTCGGGAGATTTGAACGAACGGAGGGGGGTTGAATAAAAGTCGAGTCAAATATTTTGCAAGACAAATAAACACAAGGGAGAGGTGGAAGTCACTACCTACTACGAGCGATGTATCTATTTTAGTAATAACAATTAATTTTATTTTCGAAAATCCGGAGACCTAGACCTCGGGTTGAACATTATTCCTGGGCATTCCGGGAGAGTTGGGAACCCTATTAACTGATGACTAGAGACCGCACTTCGTTCGCAAATCTCAGGTCCGTACTTCAGCCGACGATCTCAATATTTAAATATTCATCAATTCTTCACAAAATAATAATAGTGCCAGCTAATCGACAAAAGCACCTTGTTTATTTACCCTGCACGTGTCAAGGTCATGGTAGTTGGGCGACGGGCGGGAAAAACGAATTTCATTCCTATTATAACGGGGCCGTTCAAGTCATGCATCAATCATCAACATCATATCAGTTGCATGCTAATCATAAGTAAGGACACGTCGCGTCTTGTCCAGTAACAGTACGGTGTATATGCATATTTTTAATTATAAGTGTTAGTTTTATTATCTCTGTAAAAATGTCGCGTCGGCTTCCCGCTCGCTCTACGCTACGGTCGAAAACTGGCACTAAGGTGCAAAATTAGTGAATGCGTTATATCGTGGAATTATAAAACATGAATTGCGGAACACATAAACTCAGAAAAACACAAAGCTTGCAAAAGTAACTCATGGTCATGGTTGGGCGTAATATTGCAATGAACAAATTAAATAACATGAACTTTAGACAATTTTTGCAAAACTGCGTTAATGGAAAGTATAACAATGACACCGTGCCCGCAGAATTCACGCTGGATCCATGGATTACATAGAGTCTCCGAGACGATTAGAAAGTGCTATCCCAATGTCGACAAATTGATAGCTAATGTTAAGAAAATATTTTTGAAAGCACCAGCCCGGATAAATTTGTTCAAAAAAACTCTTCCAGGCGTACCACTACCTCCAGAACCTGTTTTGACACGTTGGGGTACGTGGTTAGACGCAACATCTTATTATTACGTACACTTTGACGGCATAAAAAGTGTTATACAGCAATTGGATTCAAGTGATGCTACTTCTATTTTATGTGCTCAAAGGATATTTATCGATCCTACACTTCGTGAAGATTTAGCATACATACATTTTAATTATTCACGAATACCGTCAGTTATACGCCATCTTGAAGTAACTGTGACATCATCAGAATATTCAGTAAATAACGCAATAAATAATGTTTTAGACTTGCGACAGTTTATTTCCCAGTTGTCAGGACATAGTGCTGAACGTGTGAAGAAAAAAATTGATACCGTTTTGCAGAACAATCCGGGATTTCTAACTGTATGTCGCATAGTAGATCTTTTTGAAGGTAAAGAAGTATATTTTTCTGAATCCACACTAAATATGCCATCCGTTAAAAATTATATGTACTTTAAATATGCCCCAGTAACATCTGTGGACGTTGAACGTACGTTTTCGAAACTTAAATGGATTTTTAGCGTTAAACGCCACAACCTAACGCCTGAACATTTACAGCAGTTGCTGGTTATTCAGGTTTACTTCAGCACTGCAAGTGAATAGGTGTAGAGCTCAGTGTAGAGTGTTTTGTAAACTAATAAACTTAACATGAATCATAGTGGATATTATAAATCGTCAGTACAAGGCAAGACTTTGATTTTTACTTTTTATATGGTGTTTGCGCCTCAGAGTTTAACTTAGCGTCCTGAGTCCGCCCCTGATAATGACGTCATGTGCGAATGAAGTGCGGTCTCTACTGATGACTGGCAAAGAAATTTAATTTGTGGTTTTCTAGTTCTCATTCCGAATGTGGCGGAAAATGATGTTTGTGTTTTGGCTAGTTGTTATTATTTATTCAATGATTATTCTGGTGATGGTATACACATATCAGTTTGAGAACTTTAAAAAATATTGGGAAAATCTTGGAGTACCCATAGGACAGTAAGTAATAAAAAGTATTCGCAATTTATTGTCTAATATAAAATATATTTTCTAGGCAAGAGGATATTGGTTTAGAAAAGTATGAGACAAAACGATTATTTGTGCGCCTAGTAACTCCTACATTTTTTGTTATTATCACAGTGATACAGCTACATTATTTTCACAAAGACTTTATGCATCTCTCAGATCCCAAGAATACCAGTATTTTAAGAGAAGATGATATAAATAATGATGAAGATTTAGATCAAAGCTCTTTACAAGGCGGTGCTGTTATCGAACGGAGTGAAAAAGATGAAACTACCACTTCATCAGTTAAATTTGATTTATATGAGTTAGGCAGTAAATATGTTCTAAAACCTCAATTTTCATCAACCTTAATATATTTATTTGTAGATATGTCAAATGCTGAATTTCAACATTTAGCAGAAGAATGGCTAAAGAAATTACATCGTTTAAAAAATTTGGTTTATCTATTTCTGGAATTACACATGGTTAAAGTAGTTCTTTTATTTGCCATGCTAATATGTGTCTATGACTTATGTGCTTTATATCTTGTTATAATTATTCTCCTCTCTTTGGCTGTAACTTTTGGGCGGCCTGTACAAATTTTTGCTATCTACACTAGTTCTCTTTTGGTGTCAATGCTGTTATTAGCTCGTATGATTTTTCAAATTAAATATATTACTCCTGAAAATTGGAATGTTACATGTGTGGTAAGTATTTGTATTAATTAGTATGCGGTGAGGCACATTTCAAAAGTGGCTGATATTATAAAAGAGAAATAATAAGAAAATGAAAAGTGTATTAGTAGTTTCAATAACATCATACTTATTTATTTTTTTACATAGTCACCATTTTATCTCGAGCATTTTTGGTATCGCGAAGCAAACTTTTTCAATTCAACCCTCACAATTTTTTCAATTTTCAGTGCTGACAATCATGTGCGGATGTGTGTTATCATGAGGGAACACAATTATTCCTAACCAGAAGGATTAAAAACTTCTGTGCAAAACTGACTGCAATTATAGACAGTGAAGATATGGAAGGTTTGAAAAAGCTTACTTCAAGATATAAAACTGTTTGAAATGAAAAGGTGACTATGTAATAAAATCACATAACTTTGTATGTACTTAGAGTCGCTATTACTTTTTATTTTTTATTTGTTTTTCATTTATTATCCATTGGCCTTTACTTTTGAGATGTGCCTCATAATTAATATATTTTATAACGATTTATGCTGCTACTTATAAAGAGTATGCTGGAGTAAACGATAAGTGATTGTTAAATACAAGTACTCAGTATAAACAATTTTTAATCAGCCCAGTTGTAATTAAGAAATTACTTTGACATGTTCCCTTAAGCTCATTAATTTTAAAGAAAACAAAAATTGTAATATCGTAACATTTTTTATATAAAACTAAAAGTATGTAGTAAGCAGTGGCCGTTGTTATAGGAAACTTCTTATTTATTAAGTAACTTCTCTCTTTATCTCCGTTATGTTACTAAAAAAAGGAGGAACACAGTTTATGAGATATTTGTTGAACTTCCTATTAATAGATGGCGCAATTAAATATAGTCTAGTTCTAGTATGTTATGGTGTCCATCAAATTGTTTCATTCTTATATTTTTTTAAATTGCTGTTAAAGATTTCATAAAAAAAATACAGATCAGGTTTTTTGTATGTATCATTTTATGGTAATATCTTGAAAGGTAGCAAATCCATTGTGATACTCTCTCAATATAGGGGCTATAATTTGAGGCATGCATTATTTTGTTTATTGGTTTTTGATATTGGCAACAATCGCTACAGCCAAATGCTCAGATGTATCTTTAGAAGTAGACTTTACTATATTTGATTAAACTTAAAATATTTTAATACTGTCCAATAAGTATAAGTAATATAAGTTAGGAAACAATATAACATTATGCACAGTTGCCATATAATTGCCATTTTGGCAGAGAAACCAGGATAGTGAAGGGGTAAAAATTTCAGGCAAAATAAATTATTAGTCATTAAGTTAATAGCATTAAAATGAATTACGTTGTATAAAGTTGTATTTTTTTATTGTTGTATAATACTGAATAATACTAAGAAATAATTTTTGATTTTAAAAAATAATATCCAACAATAAAAGTGTCATGAGCAAATAATTTTATTTAACATATGTCAAAAACACAGTACATGAATAATCATGATCATTAAATCTTCTTTTAGTCTGGAAATGATACGTATAAAGTAAACAATGCCTATTGGTTTGGATTTGATAAAACTAATGCTGTGCCTCGCCTAGTAAAGTGGAATATAGCATACACCCTGGTTGTTACCTTATGGTCTGTAATATTAATAAGGCAGCATTATTATCGAATTTCAAGAGGACGACCAACTACAAGAGCATTCTTTATGTTTCCCAAGGTCACTAGAGCAGATGCTGATAAAGATTTAAAAACATGTTTGAAATATTTTGCAAATTATGGTTTCTACAAGTTTGGTTTGGAGGTATTTGGTATGGTGTACCTTTTGCGTCATCTTTTTATAATTCACATTTAATTTTAGATTTCATTGATGGCTACAGTTGCTGTAATAGGTATAAGGATGGATATGTATGCAGTATTTTATTCTATTTGGCTATGTATACTTTTTTCCATGAAAAGAAGTGTGTTATCTAGAGTATGGGTGTTTTATCTCATATTTATAGCTGTCTTATTGCCAATTCAGTACTTTATGGCTGTAGGTCTTCCTCCGACACTTTGTCAAGGTAAGACATCGATATATAAAATAATATTGCAGGAGAAATTCTCACAAGTGGTTGGCCATTTTTAGTAATTAAAAAAAAAATACTAAATATTAAAATAACTTTAAAGCAGAACCTACCCATAAATCAACTATATGTTTAAAAAATGTATTTTGTTTTGTTAACTTAAAATCTAATAATGATTTTAAGGCTTTTACAGCCTATGTTGATAATTAATTGATACTGTTTTCTTGAGTTTTTTTTTCTATGTATCTGATCGTCGCCAATTACAAAATTACATTGTACTTGCAGATATTGAAAATTTCCTTATAAATTTTTACTTTTATAAAGTAAAATATCTTGCATTATATAATAAAAATATGTATCAAATGGACTTTAGTAACAACTTGTTAATTGATGAACTTGTTTTTAGAATTCCCGTGGGATAAAACCAATTATTTAAGAGCATTACAAGACTGGGCATTCTTACTGGACAAATATAATCCTCCTCCAGTGAAGAAGCTTATTTGTGATTTTATTTTGTTGTTGATAGTTTCAAGGCAGTGGGTTGTATTTAGAATTGAGAGAAGGTATGCCGGTAAAAATTATGCAGGTGGTTCCAATGAGAGCATTATACATCATGCAGAAGAAAAAGGTTTTGTAAACCCCGTTCCAGATTTTATTACATACGTAAGGTAATAATATTTGATGCAGGCATAATACTCGGCATAGATAAAATTATTTGTACTCCATTGTCTTCTCTCTAAAGGTTGTCTCAGATTTTAACCTAGAAAATTTAATATGGGATATAACTTGCAAAAATAGAAAGGAAAACTTATTTGAATTTGTATGTTTTTAAAGCTTTAGATACACAATGTTTAAAAAAACGTTATTTTTTGAAATATCTCAAAAAGTACTTGACCGATTCGATGCAATTAGATTTAATCTAATTATTCTGCAAGCGGCGTTGGGGCATAGTAACTATATATTTTATAGTAGCACGCAACTGCTTTTTTATATGTTTGATATTATTTTTAAATGTGATAAATAATAAAAAAATTAAAAATACATTTTTTTTGTCTCTAACATTTTTTGTTTTTCTTATTTATTGAGTGTTACGTTTATAGCCTACTATCAATAAAAATTCTGTCGGCATTAAACGTTTATTCAATGCTATCACAGTCAGACTTTCACAGTTACACATATACAGGATGTCCCATAAGCACATGATCAAAAAGGTACTGCGACATTCTTTGGCTCAAAAGAAGACGATTCGACCTAACTTCCATTAAGAAAAAATGTCTGTCTCCTCTGCTATTGACTGTCAAAGTTCTTGAAAAAAAATTGTTTTTTGTAATATCTGGAGAATGTTAAGATGGATTTTAATGAAACTTGCTGTGGACTTGTTCCTAAGTAAGACTCGTGTTTTGATAAAGCAACCGCATCCATCCGCCTTGGGCTAGTGGTAAATTCTTGAGTGTCGTGGGACAAGAATTACCAGAATTTTTTATTTGGTCGCTGGAAACAATTCATTTATTATAAAATGACATCATCGCTTACTACGATAGTAGTAATTGTAGCGAGTAGTTGTTGTACTTGAGTAGTAGTGATAATGATTGTCTAAAATTGAAAAAAATTTTTTGCGTAAAAACCATGAATGCTACAAGATTTTACCAAGAGCACGAAAATCTCGAAAAAGAACTGATGCATCAATAAAAATAAAATGAATTAATTCCAACGACCAAATAAAAAGTTCTGGTAATTCTTGTACCAAGACACTCATACACAAGAATTTACCACTAGCCAAAGGCAGATGGACGCGGTTGCTTCATCAAAACATGAGTTTTACTTAGGAACAAGTCCACAGCAAGTTTCATTAAAATCCATCGTAACATTCTCCAGATATTACAAAAAACATATTTTTTTTCAAGAACTGTGACAGTCAGTAGCAGAGGAACCAGGCATTTTTTCTTAATAGAATTTAGGTCAAATCGTCTTTTTTGAGCCAAAGAATGTCACAATACCTTTTTGATCATGTGCTTATGGGACACCCTGTATACTAATATACGAGCCAGTACTAAACACTAAACGGTCAGGCGGCAGAGAGCGATACTCAATACAACCTTCCATGCAGCCAGTCGGGAAACCAAGGGCGAGCATAAAGCCCTCGTGCAAGCACCTTGTGTACTGCTCATGCGCAGCACGTCACATTGAGAAAAAAATAAGATTCTTTTTTCTGCCTGCCCCTGTATAAATAAATTTAATTTCAGCAATAAAATTAAATAATAAAAAAAAGACAAAATTGTATTTCTAATTACTCAATCTAAAAATAATATCAAACTTAAAAACAATTTGTAGTGAGCTCACATTTTCAGCACCGCCCCAGGATCTAATTACATCAAATTAAGCCCTCTACTTATTTCTAAAAACTTGCCGAATTTGATCAAATTTGACCAAATAGTTTTTGAAATATTTGAAAAAAGTTTTTTTTTATTAACTTTAACATCGTGTATTTCAAAAACAAGGCTTTAAAACTTACATATTCGTATGAACTTTTTTTTTAAATTTTTGTGAGTTCTATCACCTATTAAATTTTTTCGCATAAAACCTGTGTCTATTTAAACTTTTTTAGATCTTACCTGGACATATTCAAGAAAGGCATTCTGCTGAGTTTTCTTTGGATAACTTTGGCAATAGTATTTTTAGCAGGAACAAATCGTGTTAATATATTTTCCATTGGTTATTTGATAGGTGCCTTTGTGTTTTTATGGCACGGCTCAGATTTCTATCTCCGACCAATTCGAAGTATACTGAGACAGTAAGTGTAGATCATAAAAGTTCGTACAAAATATTTGAGTCGTCTATCTTAAAAGAGGGTGCAAATAATGATTTTGTTTATACTTTTTTTAGTTACTCTAACTGATATGTTGTCTCTAGTAGAATTTATACTATATTTTCTAAAGTATTTTATCAAAACTGTATAAACAAATTCAGTTTACTTTTAACCAGAAATTATTGTTGTGAGAATAGTGCATCACTTATGCCCTTTTGCATGGAAATTATACTACGAACGACTTAATAAAGCCGTTTTTAATATTAACTTATATTTAATTTGTTAATGTATTGCATCGAACAATAATTATAAACCGTATTTAGCGAAGTACATCTTTATACTGGCAACAGTGAAGAAATATAGTTACTTCTGGTAACTTTCATTACTTTATGTTAGATTCTTGTTCTTTTTCTTTTTTATTAATTGCATATAAAGTAAAAATCATAGTAAAAAGTATAAATTACTGATTTTGAATAATGAATAATGAATCTTAACTATCCATCTATATCTACAGGTAAGTTTGTTTTATATGAAATTAAATAACATCTTAAGTAGCTGTTAAATGGAGGCTTACATTTAAGTATCTGTTTAAAGCTTAGCGAACAGCGCAATCAATTAAGCCTTCTTAAGAATGACTTATTGTTAAGTAATGCATATTAACTTCGGAGCAAATGGGCATTAGCTAATGTTTAGCTTTCATGATTCTTACTTAAAATATACACATACTTTGCATCAAAATTTATGCATGAGTAAAAATGGACAGGAACTTCAGTTATTTTCTTGTGAATTACTAATTTGCTTTTGACAATTTTTTTTAATTACAAGAAATTTTTAATGAAATTTCAGTTTTCAAGACTGATAAAAATCTCTGGTATCGAGTGAATTATCCATATGGTTTTATTGTTAGAAATATTGATTGATTTTCTTTGTTCTCGTTTTTGCTTCTAGTCACTGATGTTTTATTATTTTGTTGTTACTGTTATGTGTAGGTTTTTAAATTTTTGCAATAAATTGATGCACTTTAATCTAATGTATTAATAACAGAGATAATAATGTTAATCAAACAAAAAATTGTTTGGAAAAGATAGGGGCAGAGTTTTGTTAAGTATACAGGTATATTTGCCATTTTAGCTGACGCACCTTACAGGGTGAATCAATTTAAAAAAAAAACTTGCTTTCTCTGTAAAACCGAATCTTAATAAAAAATAGCATTACTGAGGGATACACCTATAATAAAAAAATATACTCATTTTTAGTGGTGTATTAATTTTGATGCAAAATATTCAGTTACTAATCTGCCAAACGTCACCAATAGATTCGACAATGAAAATAAAGGGGGGTGGTTCAAATACAATGTTGTCGAAAAATGTTTTGTTTCTGAAATACAAATTAGTTTCTTTTACCAGTCATAAAAACCTTAATTAATTGATATAATGTAATTGTAGCCACTCTTTTCAACTTTAATTGTAAATCTACTTATTAATTTTAGGTATATTTTACTTTAAATTAACCTTTCTATTTTCCAAGAATGTACTTTATTTAAAATTAAAAATTACTTGACAAAATGTTTGAAAGTAATTTTTACCTAGAATATGTTCCAGAACTTATGTAACAACAAAATTAAGTTTTCAGTATCTAAATTTTTTCAAAGCTATACAGCTAGCTTACATATGGGTTCTCTCCATGAAACTAGTCAAGATATACAGGGCTGGAAAATCCACATGGTCCATCTGCCTTTACATGAGAGCGACAAAGTAAAGTAAAGAAATCCGAATCTGAATAGTCACGACCCGTTTTGGGTTAGAAGTGGGAGTGACTATTCAGATTATGAAACGTCTTCACTATAGCCATCCTTGTCTATCGCACGGATTTCTATGACTTAGTTTATCTCTCTCACGTAACGGCCGATGTACCATGGGGACTTTCCGAACCTGTATTTAGTTGGGTAATTGTAATTGATAATGAGGTTATGGATGTGGAAACTGATAAAGTATTTAAAGTATATCTGTATATTACCGACTCTTACTGAAAAATAGTACGCTTAGTATTTAGCGAGCAAATAGGTAAATCTTACTTCAGTGTTTTTGGCGATTATTTGTGTGACGAAATGTGAGATCAGAGAGTTTGGACAGCCTAGTATATGCACCAATAATGCAAACGTGAAAAAAGCTAAAGAGATTGTACATTCTAATAGAAGAATCCCCATCAGAGGTTGCTGAAGAAATAGGAATTTCATATGGCTCATGTGAAGTGATTTTTATGAATGACTCGAACATCAAAATTTGTTCTGAAACTACTGAATTTTCAACAAAAACAACATCGCATAGCCTTCACTGAACAAATGCTTACTGATGACCCAGACTTGCTCAAACTTGTTATAACTGGTGACGAAACGTGGGTATGTGACGATGACGTCGAAACGGCTCAATCATCTCAATAGAAGGTTTCTGAGGAGCGAAGACCGAAAAAAGCATGTCAAATGTGAAGATCATTCTAACCATTTTTTTCTTATCCAATACATGACCCCCTGTGACTTTTACCTATTTCCCAAACTCAAAAGAATACTTCAAGGACATTTTTCAACAATAGATAAATATAGATAGATAGAATAAAGGCAAAATTGCAAACCAAACTCTATACGATACCTAAAGAGGCGTATTACCAGTGTTTCTCAAATTGGAAACTATGTTGACATAAGTGTAAAATTACACAGGGGGACTACTTTGAAGGGGATGGGATAAAAATTAAAAATTAAATAAATACTTTCCAAGAAAATGAACAATTCTAGTTACTTTTTGATGAAACCTGCAACATTTATGTTCTTTTTATGCTTACGTAAACAATAGTTTGCCACCAATTGTCATGTGATCTTTCACTTGGAAAAAGTAAATTAGTAATAAAAAAATATAGCAGATAAATGTAGGCTACCTAACAGTTGGATAAACTGCATAGCTCTAAATAGAAAAATATAACCAATTTAAATATACAAGTTTTGAGATTTGGACATTTTAACCTAAATAGACAGACCAACATAAATAAGTTTGCATTTCTGATTCAGGCAGAGCTGTGCGAGAGTGAGAATCAACTTGCTTTCCTAGAAGGAATAAGACTTATGCACGGCAATTTGGGATAGTGGCTACCTGGAGCTTTCTCTTGCCGTGTCCAGTGCACATTTGTACGAGGAGATATGTCTGATCCAAACTTATTCGTGTCGGTTTGTACATAGGTACATATATAACCCCAAAGTTAACAATTTAAGTTTTGACAACTTTCAACTGAAGGAGAAATGCTGATGAAGGCTAAAATACTGAAAAGGAATACTTGGAAGCCACATGGTATTAGGTCTGTTTCAACAAGAATCAGGGATTGGTTCCGAACCGTTTGAAATGTTTGGCCAGCTAAGTTCTAAATGTTTCTTCAGTGAATATATTGCAGGAATTAGTTGGATGCACATTTCAAACGGTTCAGAACCAATTCCTGACTCCTGTTGGAACAGACCTATTAAGTTCTCTATATTTTTGCATTACCTCTAAGAAACCATAATAATAAAAATTTTTGATTACAGAAAAACATTATTATGGAGTTATTTAACTAATTCTAAATCATGTTCTAATATATACTCTAGCAATATGATCGAAGCAAGCTTATAAATTTTTTACAATAAACTTTAAAACATACAATTTATAAGACTTAAAATTCATTGAAAATTTAAAATATTTCATTATATCTGCTTTATTTTATTTTTCCCCTTTATTTATTTATTTTTTTTTTTTTTAAAGGACCCTCAGAATAAAGTTTGCATGGCTCTGATTATTTGTGTTTATATGAAATTCTACCTGATGTTCCACATTGTACTCTCCATGATAAAATTGAAAAATATTGCTTAAATAAAAATATCCTTAATTTTTTCAACTCTCAACGTGCTGTATTTCAGAAATCGGAAATGGAGCTTTTCTGATCAAAATTTTATTTTATCTACCTTATCTTTCATCGGCTATTGGTGACTTGGATGTTATTAATTGAACACCCCATATATTTAGATTTTTTACATATTTTAGGTGGCAGTGGCTCTTAGGATATAATGTGACAGTCATTTTCTTAAAAACCTCGTTTCAAATATTAGGTTGCATCTATATTCAGAATATTCCAACAGATTATTGTTGGCTTGTGCAAGTATTAGGAATTGGTTGTGTTAGAAAATTTGGGAATTTGAATTTACCAAATGTAGACATAGGGGATGATATTGATCCTAAAATATGTAAAGTCCCGAGAGAATTTATAGGAATAGCATGGGATGGTATATGTTTTGGATTATTAATCATTCAAAGACGAATTTTTAATAGTTACAATTTCTTTCACATGGTCGATGAGACTAAAGCAACTACAATTTTAGCATCTCGAGGTAAAATAAAATGTTTATCTTTACTTTTTCTCTTCATGGGCATGGTAGTAAATAAATGTGATAAAATCCACAGATTGAAAAATATACCTGGGAGTCATATTTAATATATTTTGATTTAATAAATTGACAAATAAATTGTCACAATTCACAATATTTATGGCACCATTTTATATAAATAATATATTGGCTAATTCATTGTAGTAATTAAATGAAAAATGAAGTACTATCTGATTCTTAAAAGTTCTCTATTAGCAAATATCGGGTGAGATGTAATTACTTGAATATGGGAAATATTGGAATGAATTGAAATCTTAGCATATTTGAAAATTTTAGGTCTCTGTGGTTATCAAATAGTTCTCACTTGAACAAACGGATTACACTTAAAAACAGAAAAAAAATCAAATCATAAACAATATATATCTACACACATATTGTTTATGGTTTTAAAAATATTGGAAATAAAAGAACATATTAAAATAATAATAATTTTTAGAAAATGTTTTTAAAAAACAACCAATTTAAATAATTCTACACAAAACTTTATATAGTAAAATTATAAATCTACCCCCATTCCATGATTATAACGTTCATCATTCAACCATTTATTCTTCCGTCAGGCACTCGGTTCCCGATTCCCAGTTCTGGGATAATCATTTGATTCTTAAAAGTATCTCTTAAACCAAGTGCTCGCTTTTTAAATATACTCGATTCTGCCCATCACTAATTCACTGGTTAAACATCAACCATGATAGACTTATTTCCACACTAATACAACTGCTGTAATAAAAAATTTATATAAATTAAAATTAGTTATTATCTTACCTGCAATTTGTTGGCCAATTTATTAAAACTGGTAAATTTATTATAATTTTTGTATACGTGCATCACCAATTTGTTGATCAATCTACTACGTCGTATGATTTAATTCTAGGTGCTGAATTAATAGAAGAAATGAGGTTAAAAACAATGAAGGATCAAGAAGAAATAGAACATAGAATTTTGGAGAAAATTAAACAGAAGATGGACAGAATTAAAGCAAACCAACAAAAAATGCAAGGTGTTAGTTATAAAGATAGACCTCAACTTGGAAGGGGTAAGTTGATGGATCATACTAGGATATTTTTAAATGTATTTAATATTCATAATTTTAAAAGTCTAATATCTATTGGTAATAATAATTTTACACCTATTGGGTAAAAGTGACTCGATATCTTTTACACAATTAAGCCTCATGATAATTGAATTTAGAGATATGGTTTTAAACATAAATATTTTTTTCTATACCACATTGTATTTTGGTACCATGAGAAATTTGAAAATAATGTCCAATCTAAAATTCAGTTATTTTGAGTGCTGTAACATAATAAAATTAACACTGTATTATATAATCATTATGCTTTTCATTGGTGGTGGTGTTAATTACATTTTAATGACCACTTAAATTTAGGTTTATTAAGAAAAATATTAGAGAAGATGACGCAAAAGAATGTAATTCAAAAAACAATTGTATTTTTTTTTTTGTCTAATTTAATAAGTATTATTCCGAGGTACTGGATGTGACTAGAGGAGTGTAAATTATAACATAATTAGTTAAAGCCTAATTTTTAACAAACTCTTTGAGAACCAAGAACAAGTGCTAACCATTTAGTTTGTCATGGTTTGTATGGAGAAGGTGATTTCTATATTAAAACATAATAACGTGTAGCTCAAACATAAGGGAAAACAGCCGCCCAATGTTTAAAACAATTGTGTCAGGTCCTGTCTTTTATCGAATACAAAAGACAATAACAGTGAATCATGCTTTCTTTATCTGGATTCACCCCTGGGCGTTTGTAATAGTGTTTTAAACAGACAAGGAATGTACGGGAATATCAGTGTAAGCAACAAGTTTTCCAATCCCGTGACAAGTGCACTTAAAATTGCTTCTTAAGTTCGAGAGAGAAAGTGAAAGTATAGAAAACTTAATTGAAAATCAGTACCATTTTTTGCCATTTTCAAGGGATTTAAGCTTTGATGTCAGAAGACTTCCATGCAAAATTTGAACTTTGAAAACAATATGCTAGAAATGAAAGCATTCTAAGATTAATTTTGGAGATGGGTCAACTTCGTAAACGACATATTAATTAGACCATTTTTTCACCAGATGTCTAAATAGTAACAACTATCTTTATTTTTTGCAATAATCTCCCTGGATTACTACAAGAATGGGAGACTAGCTTATTTTCAAGTTCGGCACACCTAAACTAAATACAAGATTTTTTCTTATGGGAATAGATAAAAAATTTAGTGGAAATACACACGAATAACTAATAGCTCGTATCAACACAGAAGTAGCACCATTTTTGTAAGCATGGCATAAAGCGTAAGGACGGGATCTTACCCTCACGATTATTTCACATATTTTATAAATGAAATATAAGTATTTTTATTGTTTGTGTTTGTGACTTCTTAAATACAGATGTTGTTTTATCATGAAATCACCTGATAAGTTAAACATCTCAATTTTAAAATCGCTACTTACAGTGGATGCAAGCAGCTAAACACAAATTTTATATGAAGACAGTTGAAACTTGCTTGAGAATGTTTTATTTAAATATAATACTAAATTTATTTTGCCAGAATGTCACCAACAATGTATAATTACTCTGACCTTTAAAGTCCAATAAAAATTTCATTTTTAAAATCTAAACTATTCTCTGTTTGAAAAAATAAATTCTGACTATAAAATAAAGCAACAAATTGGTTTATTATATATTATTATATTTAAAAATTAACTATGTTGAGCTTCTAATAAATTTACAAAATTATATTATGTTAAACTAATCAACAATAAATTCAACTACACGTTTTCTTCAGAACGTCCACCATTAGCTCGTTCTACATCAGTCTCATCCTGTACCTCTGGCACTTCGCAACAGTCTACTCCAGCAGGTTATCATACCCCTATCGATGAGGAAGAACCTGCGCCCCTTACTCCCCGCAGCTCTATAATTCAACCACAAGCGCCACCTTCTCCTTATTCTGCCGTAATGACAGTGTCTTTGGAGGGTTATTTAGAACCACAAAGAATGTCATTTTCTTCTCCTCCTAATTCTGAATTAAATCCTCGACCTGCCTCTCCCGATGATAGTTTCCCTGTATTTTCTCCGCCTCCTTACGATGAAGCCCCTCCATATGCAGAAGCTGTAAGTGAACCACCAACAATTATACAACGAAGACAAAGCAGTATTGGCCCTCCTTGGATGCAAGGAAGTTTTGTGACACCACGGCAAAGCATTATATCGTATTCATCTCGATCGCCCTTAAGCCACCACGAATGTAATTTGGAATTATTGATACTTCTTGCATATTCAAGTAAACAATGCAGTACATATGCTTCAGATTCACTTTAGAACACAAAAATATGGTGTGTTTTTTATCATTTTTTGTTAATTACTGTAAAATATTAAATGTACATAATTTCTAGATGAAATAATGGATTTCTGAAAATTATTTTCTATTTTTTTGTTTTGAGTTATTTTAAAATATTGAATTTATAATTATATGTACATACATAATTATATTTTTTAATAATTCCCAAATTATATTCTTTTTTACCTGTGCTTTATTTTCGTCTTTTATATAAATGTTATTCGTTTTCCTTTTTTTGCTTGTAGATTCATTCTTTAGACCAAAACATAGAAGGAAGCCTCCAGTCACATACAAAGAGGGTAATTTTCATTTTGCAGTAAAGTATTTTGTTGAAATATGCATGTATATAGAAGTGATTTGGAAAATTTTGCCTATATAGGTATTATGACTGAAACATTACATAATCATATGGCAGTAGTTAATTATCTTTTTAATAGCAACACATAACTAGATGTTGTTATGATTGCTTGTAGATATAAAATTAGCACAATGTGGCAACCTATTATAATCATATATTTAAATTACAACCTTTAATAATCATTTTTATTTGGACTTGTACAACTTAAAATGAAGGTAAAACACTTTTTAAATTATATTGGAATCAAGATCTATAAATAAAATATTAAAAAGAACATTATCTTAACGAAAAGTACTAATATATCTACCTTTTACGTTTTTACGTGAACTTTTGTATAGTCAAAATTGTGTCAAAAAATCTTATGCAGTATTAAATATAGTAATAATAATAATAATAATAATGATAATGATAATGATAATGATAATGATAATGATAATGATAATGATAATGATAATGATAATGATAATGATAATGATAATGATAATGATAATGATAAT